CGGAGGAGGTTTTGCCGCTGTCGACTTTTTATGCCATAATTTGGCAAGCCGTTTAGCTGCTAAATAGCCGGTGATTACAGGGCATCTTCACCCGGTCGATCGTCGTTAGAAGACGTGTTCTACCGTGGAATCGCGCGAGGGCGGCGGCGATGAAATTGAAGACGTCGTTCGTTCCCCTGCGATAACCTCGGTTGCCTGTGCCCTTGCTTAGTAGTAGTAGTGGTGGTGGTGGTAATTGGTGAAACTTTTCAACAGAAGAAATGAGAAATTTCCCTGGAGGGCGTGCAGAAATATTATAATTAAGACCCCGGAGACCGATCGACTGCTGTTGGATGCTGGGCGCACAATTGGGCGCGCTTTGCCGTTTCCCAGTCAGTCCCTGCGGAGGAGACAAATTGCTTGCAAGGGTGCGTACATCGTCGTTCGTTGCATGATCAGCAAATGCATTTTTCGTGTTCGCGAAACTTTGTCACGCAGTCGAAATCACGCAGCGCCAGTTCGTAATCAGCGCCTTGCCCGATCGATATCGCAATCGATCATTGTCAATCGGGGTTCTTGTTTTACGCAGAGCCCGGAAAGGGGGTCAATAAACCTCCGTTTCCCATGTATGTTTGCATTTTCTGATAAGATTTAAAGAGCATTTGTGTGACCTCACTTGGTACCAGAACTTTCACTAAAGTGTCCCACTGATATTCGATACGGGGCCTCCTGCTGCTTCCTGTACATGGTTCAGGATTGACTTAATTACTGGACCTGTAACCCGAACCCCGAGCCCACGCAAATTTGACCAACTTGTGTGACAAATTACTGGCAACTTATCGTACAAAGAGCTGCTACTTCTCGTAGGATAACGATAGGCCAGACACCCGAACAGCCTTTCTCTCACACCCCAGAGGTCCGGGCTGACCCAGTCCGCAGCATTTCCATTTTGATTTATTCACGGGACAGTCCGGAAAGGATGTTCGACAAGATTCGGCGGCCGGCGGTCAGGCGCGTGGATCGCTTAAATCGGAAAACGTGTTTCCGATAGGTGCTGTCGTCCGCCCGGTTCGGATCGGCTTATTTTGACAAGCTGGTATGGCGAGCCAGCAAGCGACCGAGCGTGTGGCCAGCCGGACTTTCACTTGATGAATCGAGGTGACACATTAAACGTGACCGGAGAGCGGAATTTCGCGCTCGACACTCAGAGGACCGGCAGGATGCGGAAGACCGGTAATTAATTGCGTGCCCTCTTTGGTGACACATATTTCATCGAAACGAGTGTGGAGTAAGGTGGAATTCTGTATCAAGATTGGGTAAATGCGTTCAATTGAAAACAGCACTTTTTCGATAGGGTCCTGCACACCAGCTAGGATTGTAAAATGAAAGCCAACCGCCCAACTAACAATATTCACAATGTAAGCGCTTTACTCATTTCATTGATAAAGCCTCAAGCTGTATTCAAACGTTATACGGTGTGAGGAAATCTTTACGCGACCTCTATACAAGCAAATTTGGCGAACTTAGTCAGGTACATATGGCTGTTGGGACGGTTGGAACAAGCTCTTATTGCATATCCATTTACGCTTCTATACAGCTGTTATCCCGCTGTTTAGTTGTGTGTGAGTGAATTTGAATGGCGCTTATTCAACGTTTTTCCGGTTATCCGATAATCACTACACGGCTTTCTCTTGAAGCCGGGTTAAATACTGTTTACGCTTTTTAATGAAGGAATTTATTGAGTTTATTTTGCTGTGAATCAAATTAATCGAAATTAGTTACAAATCATCACCAAAGTATTTACCCTGCACCGAAACCTGGAATCGAACTCGAGACGACCTCATTGGCAAACCTTGACACTACCAACTGTGCTACGCCAACACCAACACAAAATCGCTGAGTAGAGGCTTTATAATAGTGCACATGAATCGCTTTTCTCGACTAGCTATAAAAGAGCAGAGTAAAAGCTGTAAAACTGCACACGACTAAAAATAAACCTAGTTGACTGTGAAAATGCTTCCGAAGTAGCTCTAACCAGGGTTCAACATTTTCGAAACAAAGAAAGGAAAATGAACTCTCCGCAGAATCGCTTCATTTCGAGCAATATAATTTTCGTGTAAGTCATTGTGTTTCTTGTTATTGAGTCACAATGAACATTCCTCCTGACTTGACTATCGCTTGTTGCGTTCGTCAAAAACATCAGTTCATTTCATTTGAAGCAAAGACTTGTTTCAATTGACGCAATGAATGACTCGAAAACTGCTTCCTTCGTTTTTGCCACCTTCACTTCAATTCGGGACTCATTCGACTTGTCACGTGTCGCGTCGTTAGGTATCTACATAAAGTAACCGGATAGTATCCGCACCCTTGAACCAAATGATGGATACATATAATAAGCACTGCGATAACATTGACTTTACAATGACAAAAACCAAATTAAAGCAATATTTTAATTCCTCGCATAACGTCAACTAGAAGTAATGTTTTAACTTGTTCTTAAGACATATTATACAAAATATAAACAAAGACAAAATTATAAAAATAGCTCTTAAGACAACAATTGTAAAACGGTCTACACTGATTGACGACAAATAAATACCTTGATAAGGTTATCAGAGATATCAAAGTTGACCATGTGGGACCATGATCCAGAACATCAGCTCTATGCTAGTCGTTATAAGTAACATTGGTCATATTTCGTCGAGTAGATGTGATTTAATATGTCTGTTTGGATCAATTATAGAATTTGACTAAATTTTTGCAGCAACTTTTCAAGCAGGTCAAAAGAAATAGTCCCCTCTAATCCTTCATGCTACGACACTGGTTATGCTGCTGTTTTCAGTTCCAACACTAGCCAATCAATCAATTAATTCAACTTGTTTACGGAACTATTCTGATAGTATCTTCAGCTTCTGGCAGGTAATCATCCGATTTAGAAGTCAACCGGAATATTTAGCACTAAACTAAGAAACTACCACCTTCACAGAAAACTGATTTAAACTTTAATTTATTTGTGATTTTACAACTTTGTTAAACAAAACTGAGCTCCTCCACTATCTCTTGGGTTTGTTTTTGTTTGTATCCTTCGTTCTACTTCTCCACGAATCGATGTAAACAATCAACGACGGTCCTACCGCTGTAGACCGGTGACGCATACATCTCGCTTCTCAACTCTCACTTCACGGCAGGCAGGTCGCGAGTACAGCTGAAGCCCAGTGGTGTCAACACACCCCAGCCCGTAACTCCGGTACCCGTTCATCAGTGGTTCCGGATTTACCATCAAGAACTTCCAGCACTGCAAGGTTGGCTACTCCACGCCGGAATACGCCTTTGCCTGTCCGTACGTCCACCTACCTAACTCTGCCGTCTGATCCTACGAAGACTTCCTCGACAATACCTCTAACCCAGCTTTTCCGGTTCTGTCCATCTACTACAAACACGAGATCTCCCTTCTTCAAGAACTTCCTCTCAGCAAACCACTTGGTACGCTTGTTGATCGTTGGAAAGTACTCCTTGTACCACCTTGTGTACACCAGACACACTTTCTCATCACTTGCTGGATTTCCGTTCGCAACTTCGGAATATAAAACTTCTGTCGAAGCTCGTTGAAGACCGTTTCCCGATTTGCATGTCCAAACTTTTCATGGTAATATTGTACCAATCGTTTCGTGACTGCGTGTCCTTTCGGAAGGATAATCGGGAACTTCATATCGAACGGGATTTCGTCTGACTTCGCCATCCTACCATTCATTCGAATCACGCCACACTCGTCTACGATCGGAGTGAGTTTGTATAATGGGCTCCTCTTCCCGATCTGCTCTGGCTTCTGATTCGCTTTGAGTGATCCATTTCCCAGGAGTACCATTACTTCATCTGGGAACGCCTCCAACTGCGCCTGGCTCCACAAAATCACTTTCGCTCTCGAAAATTCGTCCTACTGCAGTGGTCGCTGTACAACGCCTTAAGTAGCTGTTGTTGCCTCTCGTTCGCCACCATCGTTCGTAACGGAAAGCCCTTTACCTTGCGTCGAAGATTTGTAATGAATCTGATTACGCAAGCTGTGATTCGCAACAACTTACGCCAGTGCCATGTCACTTCTACATCGATCACGGGTTCTAGAAACTCCTTCACTTCATGGTGCAGCAAGTATGCTTTCATTTCCTGCTCAGTGTTCTTGCCCCACTTCGTTAGTGCATCAGCCAGGTTTATCCGAGATCTAATCCATCGCCAATCCGTTGAGCTGGTTGTCTCCAAAATTTCTCCAACCCTGAATGCAACGAACTGCTTGTATTTTCGTTGATTCGAACGCAACCAACTCATAACTGTTTGCGAATCTGTCCAAAGAAAACAACGGTTTATGGAAAGCGAATGGTTGGATTTGATCGTTTGTAACATTCTTGCACCGAGGACCCATCAGTTCCAACCGCGGAATGGATTGTAACCAACAGGCATTTAATTTCACCGTCTACCATTGCACGAAAGTAGGCCACGCAGCCATATGCCTGTATACTAGCGTCCGTGAAGATGTGCAGCTCAAGCCTGTTAATTTCGGATGACCGCGTGTGTCCAAAATATGAGCGCGGAATGCGAACCCTCTCCACTAACGGCAAGAGCTCCATCCATTGCTTCCACTTGACCAAGCATGCATCGTCGACTTCTTCATCCCACTCGCAGCCCGTTCGCCATAAGTCCTGAACCAAGATCTTTCCATGTACGGTGAAGCATGAGAGTAGTCCCAACGGATCGAAGAACCCCATGATTGTGTCAGGTACTCTTGTAGATCTTCGCGGTGTTCAGTCGAGAAGGAGAAAACGTCTTGACCTGGATTCCAAATTATACCGAGTACGCGTTCATTTCCAGTCTCTTTGTCCTGGTTGAAATGAATCGTCTGGACGGGTTTCGGTTCCCCAAGGCTGACTAGGACTTCCTCCGAATTGGATACCCAGTTTCTTATCTCGAATCCCCCTTTCGAATGTATAAATCTCACCTGCTTTGCCCGCTGTATCGCTTCTTCGATGGTATCAACGCTGTCGAAGTAGTCGTTGTTTCTTCACGATTGCTGCGGCGGCTTCCGGATACTGTACTGCAAACTCCATCGCGTTCTTGTTCTTTACGAACTGGGCGGAACATGGAGAACTTTTCGATCCGAATGTAGCTACGTCCATAACGTAAATACTAGGTGCTTCTCTGGGATTCGATCGGAAGACAAATCGCTGCACTCGTCTGTCGGCTGGACGAATCTGCATCTGGTGGTACATTTCGCGGATGTCTCCACCGAAAACGATCGGTCGTTCGCGAAATTGGCAAAATACGGTGAGTATACACACCAGCAAATCAGGTCCTGTGAGAAGTAAGGAATTGAGGGATATTCCTTTCACACTTGCTGCTGCATCCCACACGAGTCGTACTTTTCCCGGTTTCTTTGGGTTAAGGACGACGTTGAGCGGAAGATACCAAACTTTTCCCGGTTCGGCTTCTTCTAATTCTTCGGCACTTGCCAGATGCGCATAGCCCTTCTGCTGATACTCCTTGATCTGCTTGCAAACGTTTTCGAACAGCGCTGGTGACTTCAGCAGTCGTTACTCCAAACATTTCATCCTGCGCGTTGCCATCGGATAACTATCTGGAAGTTCTGGCTCTCCTTCCTTCCGCAGTAGGCTCGAATCGATCGCCCACTCTTCTGGTGGTCCGCTCAAAGATTTCACGAGCTCTTCTATCATCTTCCGATTCTGCCAGCTTCATCACTACGGAGTCCTCTAAAGCGTACTGACTTTTCAGCAGATCATGCAGCTTCTGATTGCTTACTTCATCGTGATGTCCCAGATACACTTCTGCATTTGATAGCTGCACCTCATTTGGACCGTACACTGCCCATCCTAGCTTGGACCGCACCGCTATTGGCTCACCAGGCTTACCAACCTTTGCTTCAGTCGGTGCAAGCAAGTGGAGATTGTTCAGACCGATCAATAACCCCGGGCGTTGGTTTTCGTACGAAGCAATCGGTAGCCCTTGCAGTTTATTCATCCGCTGACTGAGCACCGACGCACTTAGGGATTGCTTCGGTAGTAGCAGCTCGTCAACAGTTCGAACCGTGCCGAGTTGATGTTTCTCCTTCCAATCTCGTCCGGAAATGAACAAGTCCATTCGTCGGGATCCCTTCTCCATGCGCGTGATATCGGCTGTCCATTTGATGGTCAACTGTTCCTTCGTTCCTTGAACACCTAGCTGATCTGCCAGGGAACTTTCTATCAGAGTCACTGATGCGCCCTCGTCCAGAAACGCTAACGTATTAACCGACCGCTTACCGAAATACAATGTCACTGGTATCATACGGAACATGATGGTACTGGTGGTTCGAAAGTGTGCGTTGATTACCACGGATCCGGTGGCGGAATGCAATAGAGGATTGTGACGTTCGCGACACTCGTCGATGTTGCACCGGATCTTGAATTTGCACGGAGCGTTACCGTGATCATTGAGGCAGACAACGCAGAGTTTCCACTTTTCGACCAACTTCAAACGGTCCCGAAGCGTCCAAGCCTTGAAATCCTGGCAGAATCGCAGACGCTGATCGGTCCGCTTGCACGCTTTGCACGATCTCGGATGATTCTCGCCGACGCCGGGGTTGGCCCTCTCCACTGCACTGTGATTGTATAAATGAGCTCCCTTTTTCTTCGCTTTGCTCTTTCCGGCGTGCTCGTTGCAAACTGGCTTCGATTCTGCTATGAAATCCATCTTCACGTTGGCCTCGTAAGCTTCTGCAACAATCTTCGACACAAAATCGGTAAAAGTACGCAGGTTCACCTTTCTTTTCCGATTTTTGTAGCGAACCCATTCACGCTTATCGTGGGCCGGAAGCTTGTCGACGAGATCCTGGATAAGAAGAGGATTAACCAGGTGCTGCTCTAGACCCGCTGCCTCTAGATGCTCACATAATTGCTCCACAGCATTACCGAATGGAATGTATGACGCTAATTTGTCGGACTTCGGAGGATCCAATCGCCACACTTTCTCAAGCTGACACTGTAGCAACTGTTCCGGGCGTCCATACAGCTGACGACGTTTGCTTATGACTTTCGGCACCGATTTTGGAAACAGTAGCTGTCCTCGAACGTTTTCCAACGCCTGACCCTTTAAGCTCTCCTGCAGCCGAACAAGATTCTCAACGTCGGAAAACCCACAAGCATCGTTGGAGGCTTGATAGCTTCCAATAAACAGCGGCCATGCTTCAGGCTTTAAAGTAAATAGTGGAAGTCTCTTGCTGATTCCACTCCGGGCCGCCATTTGCGCTTTAGAAGGTGCCGCATTAGACTGTCCCAGCCCGTGAGATCTAACTTTTCCTGACTTATTCTTCTCTTTGCTCGTCTTCTTGGGTTCTTCTTCCTCGTCTTCTTCTTCGGTGGCCTCATCCGAGTCGCTTTCAGACTGCTCCTCACTTTCATCGTCGCTGCTAGATTCAGCAGACTCTTCATCTTCCTCTTCCTCCTGTTCTTCATCCGATTCGACCTTCTTGGTTTTCTCCGATCGCTTTTGGCTACGTATTTCCGGATTCTTCAACGTAGCTCCCGCGGTCGACTGTTTCACGGTATCAGAAACTTTGTTCACCGATTCCTTTCTGTCATCTTCACCAGCGCTTAGCTTGGACAACTTTTGCTGGATTTGATCCATCCTTGCATTGAACGACTCCCGCATCTTCTTCATCCAGTCCAAATGATCTTGCTTATCCTTCAGCGCCTTCTCCAACAACTGTTTTTGCTGCTGTAATTCCTTAGCCCGAAACTCGGTCTCCATTTCGATCCGCTGTTCTTGAAGGTCGATTTCCATCCACTTTTCCATCAGAACGCGTTCGTTCTTCAGCTCTTGCTTTTTCTTTTTCCGTTCCTTTTCAAGAGCTTTGAGCTGACGTTCCATCGACGAGCCAGACCTTCCGTCGGATTTCACGCTGGACTTATCCGAGTTGTCGTCGGTCTTCTTCTTCTTCTTTTTGGCACCCGTTTTGGAAGATTCTGCGTCCAGTTTCTTCTGGCTTTGGCAGTCTTCCTCTTTCCACTTTCGACGTCCTCCGTGACTCCCACGCACCGGTAATGGTACCAAACGTTGCACTTGTCACAACATACCATGCCTTCATCCTCATCGGACACCGATCCGCAGCCTCCACAGGCGGTCGTCGTGAAATTCGCATCTCCCGGCATCATTTTTGAGGTTAGATCCTTTTCTCGATATTTCTTTTGAGTTTGTTCGGATCAATTATAGAATTTGACTAAATTTTTGCAGCAACTTTTCAAGCAGGTCAAAAGAAATAGTCCCCTCTAATCCCTCGTGCTACGACGCTGGTTATGCTGCTGTTCTCAGCTCCAACACTAGTCAATCAATCAATTAATTCAACTTGTTTACGGAACTATTCTGATAGTATCTTCAGCTTCTGGCAGGTAATCATCCGATTTAGAAGTCAACCGGAATATTTAGCACTAAACTAAGAAACTACCACCTTCACAGAAAACTGATTTAAACTTTAATTTATTTGTGATTTTACAACTTTGTTAAACAAAACTGAGCTCCTCCACTATCTCTTGGGTTTGTTTTTGTTTGTATCCTCCGTTCTACTTCTCCACGAATCGATGTAAACAATCAACGACGGTCCTACCGCTGTAGACCGGTGACGCATACATCTCGCTTCTCACATCTCACTTCACGGCAGGCCCGTCGCGAGTACAGCTGAAGCCCAGTGGTGACAACACACCCCATCCCGTAACTCCGGTACCCTTTCATCAGTGGTTCCGGATTTACCATCAAGAACTTCCAGCACTGCAAGGTTGGCTACTCCACGCCGGAATACGCCTTTGCCTGTCCGTACGTCCGCCTGCCTAACTCTGCCGTCTGATCCTACGAAGACTTCCTCGACAATACCTCTAACCCAGCTTTTCCGGTTCTGTCCATCTACTACAAACACGAGATCTCCCTTCTTCAATAACTTTCTCTCAGCAAACCACTCGGTACGCTTGTTGATCGTTGGCAAGTACTCCTTGTACCACCTTGTGTACACCAGACACACTTTCTCATCACTTGCTGGATTTCCGTTCGCAACTTCGGAATATAAAACTTCTGTCGAAGCTCGTTGAAGACCGTTTCCCGATTTGCATGTCCAAACTTTTCATGGTAATATTGTACCAATCGTTTCGTCACTGCGTGTCCTTTCGGAAGGATAATCGGGAACTTCATATCGAACGGGATTTCATCTGACTTCGCCATCCTACCATTCATTCGAATCACGCCACACTCGTCTACGATCGGAGTGAGTTTGTATAATGGGCTCCTCTTCCCGATCTGCTCTGGCTTCTGATTCGCTTTGAGTGATCCATTTCCCAGGAGTACCATTACTTCATCTGGGAAATTGGAGGCAAACCAGCCCAAGGCTGAAAGCCTCATTAATATAGTTAAATAATAATAATACTTCATCTGGGAACGCCTCCAACTGCGCCTGCCTCCACAAAATCACTTCCGCTTTCGAAAATTCGTCCTGCTGCAGTGGTCGCTGTACAACATTGTATTCCGCCTTAAGTAGCTGTTGTTGCCTCTCGTTCGCCACCATCGTTCGTAACGGAAAGCCCTTTACCTTGCGTCGAAGATTTGTAATGAATCTGATTACGCAAGCTGTGATTCGCAACAACTTACGCCAGTGCCATGTCACTTCTACATCGATCACGGGTTCTGGAAACTTCTTCACTTCATGGTGCAGCAAGTATGCTTTCATTTCCTGCTCAGTGTTTGCATCCGGCAACCCCTCGGTCGGCCAGCAATCTTCTGGTTGGTACAGGAAATTTGAACCATTAAACCACTCTCCTTCTGAATCCAATGGAGGACCTTGTCCCCACTTCGTTAGTGCATCAGCCAGGTTCATCCGAGATCTAATCCATTGCCAATCCGTTGAGCTGGTTGTCTCCAAAATTTCTCCAACCCTGAATGCAACGAACTGCTTGTATTTTCGTTGATTCGAACGCAACCAACTCATAACTGTTTGCGAATCTGTCCAAAGAAACAACGGTTTATGGAAAGCGAATGGTTGGATTTGATCGTTTGTAACATTCTTGCACCGAGGATCCATCAGTTAATCGCGAAATGGATTGTAACTTAAGAGGGGCTACTTTTGATCGAGACATCACCAACAGGCATTTAATTTCACCGCCTACCATTGCACGAAAGTAGGCCACGCAGCCATATGCCTGTATACTAGCGTCCGTGAAGATGTGCAGCTCAAGCCTGTTAATTTCGGATGACCGCGTGTGTCCAAAATATGAGCGCGGAATGCGAACCCTCTCCACTAACGGCAAGAGCTCCGTCCATTGCTTCCACTTGACCAAGCATGCATCGTCGACTTCTTCATCCCACTCACAGCCCGTTCGCCATAAGTCCTGAACCAAGATCTTTCCATGTACGGTGAAGCATGAGAGTAGTCCCAACGGATCGAAGAACCCCATGATTGTGTCAGGTACTCTTGTAGATCTTCGCGGTGTTCAGTCGAGAAGGAGAAAACGTTCTTGACCTGGATTCCAAATGATACCGAGTACGCGTTCATTTCCAGTCTCTTTGTCCTGGTTGAAATGAATCGTCTGGACGGGTTTCGGTTCCCCAAGGCTGACTAGGACTTCCTCCGAATTGGATACCCAGTTTATTATCTCGAATCCCCCTTTCGAATGTATAAATCTCACCTGCTTTGCCCGCTGTATCGCTTCTTCGATGGTATCAACGCTGTCGAAGTAGTCGTTGTTTCTTCACGATTGCTGCGGCGGCTTCCGGATACTGTACTGCAAACTCCATCGCGTTCTTGTTCTTTACGAACTGGGCGGAACATGGAGAACTTTTCGATCCGAAAGTAGCTACGTCCATAACGTAAATACTAGGTGCTTCTCTGGGATTCGATCGGAAGACGAATCGCTGCACTCGTCTGTCGGCTGGACGAATCTGCATCTGGTGGTATATTTCGCGGATGTCTCCACCGAAAACGATCGCTCGTTCGCGAAATTGGCAAAATACGGTGAGTATACATACCAGCAAATCAGGTCCTGTGAGAAGTAAGGAATTGAGGGATATTCCTTTCACACTTGCTGCTGCATCCCACACGAGTCGTACTTTTCCCGGTTTCTTTGGGTTAAGGACGACGTTGAGCGGAAGATACCAAACTTTTCCCGGTTCGGCTTCTTCTAATTCTTCGGCACTTGCCAGATGCGCATAGCCCTTCTGCTGATACTCCTTGATCTGCTTGCAAACGTTTTCGAACAGCGCTGGTGACTTCAGCAGTCGTTACTCCAAACATTTCATCCTGCGCGTTGCCATCGGATAACTATCTGGAAGTTCTGGCTCTCCTTCCTTCCACAGTAGACCGGTCTCGAATCGATCGCCCACTCTTCTGGTGGTCCGCTCCAAGATTTCACGAGGTCTTCTATCATCTTCCGATTCTGTCAGCTTCACCACTACGGAGTCCTCTAAAGCGTACTGACTTTTCAGCAGATCATGCAGCTTCTGATTGCTTACTTCATCGTTATGTCCCAGATACACTTCCGCATTTGATAGCTGCACCTCATTTGGACCGTACACTGCCCATCCTAGCTTGGACCGCACCGCTATTGGCTCACCAGGCTTATCAACGTTTGCTTCAAACGGTGCAAGCAAGTGGAGATTGTTCAGACCGATCAATAACCCCGGGCGTTGGTTTTCGTACGAAGCAATCGGTAGCCCTTGCAGTTTATTCATCCGCTGACTGAGCACCGACGCACTTAGGGATTGCTTCGGTAGTAGCAGCTCGTCAACAGTTCGAACCGTGCCGAGTTGATGTTTCTCCTTCCCATCTCGTCCGGAAATGAACAAGTCCATTCGTCGGGATCCCTTCTCCACGCGCGTGATATCGGCTGTCTATTTGATGGTCAACTGTTCCTTCGTTCCTTGAACACCTAGCTGATCTGCCAGGGAACTTTCTATCAGAGTCACTGATGCGCCCTCGTCCAGAAACGCTAACGTATTAACCGACCGCTTACCGAAATACAATGTCACTGGTATCATACGGAACATGATGGTACTGGTGGTTCGAAAGTATGAGTTGATTACCACGGATCCGGTGGCGGAATGCAATAGAGGATTGTGACGTTCCCGACATTCGTCGATGTTGCACCGGATCTTGAATTTGCACGGAGCGTTACCGTGATCATTGAGGCAGACAACGCAGAGTTTCCACTTTTCGACCAACTTCAAACGGTCCCGAAGCGTCCAAGCCTTGAAATCCTGGCAGAATCGCAGACGCTGATCGGTCCGCTTGCACGCTTTGCACGATCTCGGATGATTCTCGCCGACGCCGGGGTTGGCCCTCTCCACTGCACTGTGATTGTATAAATGAGCTCCCTTTTCCTTCGCTTTGCTCTTTCCGGCGTGCTCGTTGCAAACTGGTTTCGATTCTGCTCTGAAATCCATCTTCACGTTGGCCTCGTAAGCTTCTGCAACAATCTTCGACACAAAATCGGTAAAAGTACGCAGGTTCACCTTTCTTTTCCGATTTTTGTAGCGAACCCATTCACGCTTATCGTGGGCCGGAAGCTTGTCGACGAGATCCTGGATAAGAAGAGGATTAACCAGGTGCTGCTCTAGACCTCACTTTCATCGTCGCTGCTAGATTCAGCAGACTCTTCATCTTCCTCTTCCTCCTGTTCTTCATCCGATTCGACCTTCTTGGTTTTCTCCGATCGCTTTTGGCTACGTATTTCCGGATTCTTCAACGGAGCTCCCGCGGTCGACTGTTTCACGGCATCAGAAACTTTGTTCACCGATTCCTTTCTGTCATCTTCACCAGCGTTTAGCTTGGACAACTTTTGCTGGATTTGATCCATCCTTGCATTGAACGACTCCCGCATCTTCTTCATCCAGTCCAAATGATCTTGCTTGTCCTTCAGCGCCTTCTCCAACAACTGTTTTTGCTGCTGTAATTCCTTAGCCCGAAACTCGGTCTCCATTTCGATCCGCTGTTCTTGAAGGATTCGGTCGATTTCCATCCGCTTTTCCATCAGAACGCGTTCGATCTTCAGCTCTTGCTCTTTCTTTTTCCGTTCCTTTTCAAGAGCTTTGAGCTGACGTTCCATCGACGAGCCAGACCTTCCGTCGGATTTCACGCTGGACTTATCCGAGTTGTCGTTGGTCGTCTTCTTCTTCTTTTTGGCACCCGTTTTGGAAGATTCTGCGTCCAGTTTCTTCTGGCTTTGGCAGTCTTCCTCAGGACAATACCACTTTGCGTCACTTTCGACGTCCTCCGTGACTCCTACGCACCGGTAATGGTACCAAACGTTGCACTTGTCACAACATACCATGCCTTCATCCTCATCGGACACCGATCCGCAGCCTCCACAGGCGGTCGTCGTGAAATTCGCATCTCCCGGCATCATGTTTGAGGTTAGATCCTTTTCTCGATATTTCTTTTGAGTTTGTTCGGATCAATTATAGAATTTGACTAAATTTTTGCAGCAACTTTTCAAGCAGGTCAAAAGAAATAGTCCCCTCTAATCCCTCGTGCTACGACGCTGGTTATGCTGCTGTTCTCAGTTCCAACACTAGTCAATCAATCAATTAATTCAACTTGTTTACGGAACTATTCTGATAGTATCTTCAGCTTCTGGCAGGTAATCATCCGATTTAGAAGTCAACCGGAATATTTAGCACTAAACAAAGAAACTTCCACCTTCACAGAAAACTGATTTAAACTTTAATTTATTTGTGATTTTACAACTTTGTTAAACAAAACTGAGCTCCTCCACTATCTCTTGGGTTTGTTTTTGTTTGTATCCTCCGTTCTACTTCTCCACGAATCGATGTAAACAATCAACGACGGTCCTACCGCTGTAGACCGGTGACGCATACATCTCGCTTCTCACATCTCGCTTCTCACATCTCACTTCACGGCAGGCCGGTCGCGAGTACAGCTGAATCCCAGTGGTGTCAACAATGTCGCTTGATATGGTTATCAGAGATATAAAATTTGACCATGTGGGACCATGATCCGGAATATCTGGAACCGGTTCTACGGTGGCCAAATGGCTCTTTGATTGTTGTTTGGAGTTCTATTGGTCATATTTCGTCGAGTAGATGTGATTTGATATGTCGCTTGATATGGTTATGAGAGATATCAAATTTGATCCTATGTAATCTTAATCCGGAATATCTGGAACCGGTTCTACGGTCACCATATGGCTCTATGGTTATAATTTTGAGGTCCATTCGTCATATTTCATCGAGTTGGGTTCTTATGATTGTTCTCTATTATTTTATCGAGTAAGAAGAAAAAAAATCAATATGTTGTCGCAATGATAAGTAAGATATATGATAATGACTAAAAAAAAAAACACCCCCGTGTCAGCACATCCTTGAATATATAACAAAGAGGGAGCGGCCTGAGGAGGAGTTCACCCCAACACACGTAAGAACCACTTACCGGAATGATGTTAAACAAATTTCAACTTAATCGGCCATAGCATTTCAGAGATACAAATGTTTGAAAATAAAAAATTTGTCCCGGGCTTTTACGGGTTAAGAACAATGTAGCTTTCTGCAACTTACTCACAAAATGATCATTTGTCACCTGCTTTTCAGCAATTTCCTGGCAATTATCACATGTCACTCACCATCACATTGTTTGCATTTTACATGTTCAATAACTACATGCTAGGACCAGCCGTCCAATCATCGCTCATCATTGTCCCTGATTGTTCCACCGAAAGCACCTTTAAACAGTATGACAACGCGATGAGTTCCGGCCCTAACGGTACCTGTCACTGATTACCACGGGCATAAAAGCCCAAATTTACTCACATCCAACAACGGGACCGTCTTGAGCCGCCCTGTGTGGAGTCAATATTCCACAGTAAGTGGTTTTTAATTGCTCCCAGGATGTTCAAATTCAGCCGAGGGAATCCCGTTTCTTCCGAACGAAATGTTGCACCCAGCCATCCCTACGTCGGCGGATGACACCCATTAATCAACTCCTCGTTTCGTTCTCAGTCATAACCTCATTAGGACCGGTTACCGGCATGCACTTTTTCGGCCCGTCCAGGAAACAATCACGCTCGATTCTTAATATCCTTCTGAAACCATACCAAATGTACGCAAAGTTCAACGCAAAGCCCACCGGGATCGACGATGGAACTTACGCCAAATTAAGCGCTGCTCTAATTGTTAGTTCACTTACCTGGGTGGTCGCTTGCTTAGAATCAAGTAGGTATCCTGAATGAGCTGACCGGGCGCAGCACGATAAGACCGAACGCACGATTCCTTCTGCTCCCGTTCGGAACTAATTGATGCGGTGAAGGATTTTTATGACTTATCTCTTGGGTCCCGAAATTCCTCCGCAGAAGCGAGTTAGAATCAATTTTCGAAAACACACGATTCGCTCCAACCGACCCGCTCACTCAGGTGGTGGTCCCGGGCGATCAGATTCTAACCATTTTCAGTGGACTTTCGATTTCCTTTGCCGCTACCGTCGTCGACGTGTTGCTCGCGTTTCGAGTGAGGACTCGTTTCACAGACTAATCAATGTTCACGGGTCATTATTTCGGGTTTTATCTCACTCCAGCATTCCGACTGCGACGGCGGTGGCGGCGATGACATCGTCGTCCGGAGATAACCTAATGCTTGGGTGCATGACAATTCCTCTTCCGATTGGTTCTAAGACAAAGAATCAATTTGTAATGGTCTTGGGCTTCGATGTTAAGGATTATTTTCAGTATTTTCGACGTAGCAGTTTCCGACCGCTCGAAAGTCCAAAGTCATCGATGAGCTCAAGCTCTCGTATTATGCGTAAAATTTAAAACCACGTCAAAACGACCGGCTCCGGGACATCAGGGAACATAAACTGCAAACGATAAAAATCAAAGAGCGCATTTATCTGTCCATGCACTCTTATTTGGTTAATATTAAACCCCATCAACTAATTACGGCCGGGACCGAACGCGCATTTGCGGTCATACGTCATAAAACATTGCAACCGACTTTGAGTTACGAGTATGGTAAATTTGGCCTTTATGGACCCTCCACTTATGGATTGGTTCTTAAATTCCTGGGTTCAATCCCAGTCGGCGCCGTCGGGATTTTCTAAGGCATAAATTCTCTGTGATCGCTGAGGGAACTAAAGCCGTCGGTCCCCAGTCCATGAGTTGATAGGTAGGGTCCGGGTATAGGAGCTGCCTCCCTGGCGTCGGTAGCATTGGTACTCAGTACGGAAAACAAATCAAGGGAAAAAATAACTAAACCATTGCTGAACCAATGATTAAAAGGTAGTCAATTTAGCCTAAATGGCTAAAACAGCTACTACCGGATCCACAATAAGCCAACTTACCCTACAACGGCGAGCGGCGAGCACTTGCTGTGCAGTTGTGCCTCCCGAAAAACGATAATTGTAATTCACTGAAGTTGGAGGATGGAGAACCTGTTCTGCCTCGCTTGGGGTCTCTGTTTTTGGCCACTTTCGTCGCGCGAAATCCACCCGAACCGACGCCGGTTCCAATAACCATTCAAGCGTAAAACATTTTTATTAAAACTTATTGTATAAACATTACTCTGCGAGCGTGGCGATCGAGATCAAATCGTTCATCGGCCCATTTGCCCAAATGCTCGAGCATGCAAAAACACTCTCGGGTCTCGACACAACTGGTAGGTAGGTACCTCGCAGGGATCTCCTTTTGCTTTGTGCCAGTTCTTGCTTATCTCGCAGAATGGCTTTTCAGAGATCGACGATTGACCGGCCGTCCAATTTCCTAGCGAGTTAGTTTAGGATCCCGTCCGTCCGTCCGATCGTCGTCGCGGGAAGACTTTAAATTTTATAAATATAATAATAATAACGTTAGCGAAATGAGCCAACGAAAATCATTAGTTCGTTCACATTTTATCTGTTTTCACTCGTTTTTTTTTTATTTCTCGTCTCCATCCCACAGTTTTGCGCTCGGAAGGACGGATCGAGAAAACGAAGGCGCACTTCACGCAAAAGTGTTTGCAACCGGAACGATCGGCGTGTCGCCGTGCTGGAGGTTTCGCTTTTCAGGCGTCGTCAGCACCCTACTGCTGCCTGTCTGTAAGGGTGATGGACTCGAAGAGTGCGCTAAAGTAGCGTGTGATGAAAAATAATGCCACAAATTGTTCCCCCGTGCGAAGATATTGTGCTGTTTGGAATATGTCCGCATTGATTCAAATCACCTAACAGTAAACTTGTTGCTCAAGGATCTCACAAACCAATTGTTTTGTACTCATTCAGAAATTTTAGTTAGGAAACTAGAAAGATAGATCGACAAAGGTAAAATCGATGGACCCCTCGGTAATTACCAGTTTTGAAAAGTTCTCAAGTTCTGCGTATCCTTGATTCATTAAAATAATTACATTTTTGAAAATTCTCAACCAAATCCCTAATGCTTAAACATCATAGCAAAGGAGCAACATACACTGAGGCAAAAGAACGTAAGAGTTCCATAAGGACCATGTTGGAGCAACCCTGGGATTAAAAATGAATTTATTCCGATTTCAATAAACTCTTATGCACTAATATAGATAAGGTATAAGATAGCACTATCGATCTCGTTTACTCCCATCGGAATGTCATTATTAATCTTTCTTCTGCTATCAGCTAGGGAGAGAAATTGATCTCGATAGAGAGTAGGAAAGGCCTTTTCATCAATCCCTTCTGGACTGAATTGGGGCAGGCTCGTGATTTCCGTTAAAAATTCAACCAGCGGGAAAATCAAATGTGCACTGTAACTATGCTGAGTGGGGGTGTGAGCATCGGCTAACACTCCAGTTGATTATTGCACCGAACTTTTAAGTTTGCGACTAACCGCCACTAGGAGTCTCTTCTTCTTTTGAAAGCAAACACTTTGCAACCTTGGATTTGGATTTATTAAACTATTAACTTGGGATACACTTAAGGTCTGGTTTTTTGGATGGCTCGTTTTGGAGTGATTTATTACTAATAATTCAATTTACTCTTAACCTGGTAGTAGGCAAACCTTGGTGATCGGTCTTCGGATGATTCCCTTGCTGGTGCGAAGTGTAACGACGCGGATCAGTCTGTCGCTCCCTGGATGTGCTTCGGTGATTCGTGCCAGCGGCCATCGAACGGGTGGAAGGAATTCATCGACGACGATAACCATTTTTCCTGTTTGGAAAGTATAATTCGGTGTTGTTCGCTTGCCTTCTTTCTGCAGTTCCTGTAGATAATCCGTCCGTCACAGATGCCAGAATGTTTGAACTCGTTGCTGAAGCTTCTGATAATGATCGAGTCGATTGAGAGGAACCACAGTGACATCAGCTTCGGGCAGAGCAGAGAGCGAAGATCCAACGAGGAAATGAGCTGGAGTAAGAATTGCCAAATCGTCCGGGTTTTCAGTCATCGGGGTAAGAGGCCTCG